ACACACACACACACACACACACACACACACACACACACACACACACAGTCTGTGACATCAAGTATGTACATTCTTGAAGCCTTGGCTCTACCACTCACAGGGAAATGATTCAGGGCACACTGCTTAAACCCTCCATTTGGTTTCTTTACCTGGCCATGGCAGGATAATCTGTCTCACAAAGTTGCCATCAGGATTAAAGAAATTAGTACTCATAAAAACTGCCCAGGGCAATGCTGGGTGTATATTGGGCACTATATAAATATTTATTAAATAAACTGTTGGTTTGAGAAATCTTCCTGGTGTTTGCTAATCCCCAGGTCCTGGAGACATAGTGGTTGTTTCTATCCACACGGCATACGCTCAGCCAAGATGGTTAAAATGTTCCAAAATCTGTAAGATTTTTCTTTTCAGTGCAAAGCATAGGAAGTTTGAAACCTTCTGTTGCTACATATTTTAGGTCAAGAGATTCCATCTAGATTCCCTTTCCCTGGCTGCCTTCTCTTGGAGTCCAGGACGCCTTAATTTCTGAGGCTTCTCTCTCTGCTGGCATTCCTTATACCAAGGCTCTTCTCTTGACCCTCTTCTCCACCACACTCACATTCACTTTCACTTCGAAGGCAGAGCAAGTGGCCCTGCCCCTCATGGTACCATTTTCTCCCTGCAGAATCCCTCAAAGGTCTGTAAGCACAGAACAAAAGCCCAGATCCATGGTTCAGGCTTCTTCCTGAGAGTTCATGATCACATGCTGCTTAGATGTCTGAAAGGATATTAAACTAAACCTGTCTGAATCCAAACTCCTGACCCTCCCCATAGCTCCTCCTCCTCATCTCAGTTAATAATATCCCCCACTTCCCCCTCCTCCCCTTACCATTATCCAAGCAAATTTTATCATTTCTTCATACACACCTCCTTTTTGAGAAAGGGCATTACTCTATCCAGGCTAGGCTTGGACTCCATGTTACTCTCCGGCCTTAGCGACTTAAGTACTAGGTTTATTATAGTTCCAAGCTTGGCAAAACTCTACAGCTCTATCTTGAAAGCACACTGGGGATCTGGCCAGATGTGCTCTGGCTCCTGTGAACTCTCCCAAGTCTCAAAATGCCCTCTTATGCTGCTATCTCACTTCCGCATCATCCTACAGCAGCAGCAGAGACAGCCTAAAGGATAGATGTGTCAACGCCTGGTCCAAGCCCTTCTCATTGCTTCTCACACACAGAAATACCAAATTCCTACAGTTACACTGCCCTACGTAACCTGAGTGGGCAGCCCTGTTGGACAGGCAGCTGCCTTGCCTCGTCTCCTCCCTCTACATCTTCTGCCTGGTGACCTGTCTCAGAGACCCAGGCTGTCTCTTCCCTGTCACCATCACATCTCCGCTCCAAGGCCACGTGGTCTATCACATGCCTTTGCATCTGAGTGACACCTATTCTTCCTCCTTGCTGCGTTTTTATTACAAGACTTATCTTCAAGGTCCTGCCTGCACTGTTTGCCCCAGTCAGAACACATTTCCTCACTGCTATGAGAATGTCAGCTCCGTGAGTGGGAACTTATGTCTTCACGGCTGCCTTCTGATTGCACATGAGTGCCTTGCACACAGTGGGCCTCTGCTGCAGGTCATGCATGCAGTCCACCATGTGTACAGGAAAACTGGCTCTCTTGGCTCCTCTTACCTAGGACAGTCATCACCGTCTTCATCAGCTTCACGGGAGCCCTCCGGCGGCTGATGGAGCCGCTCGTGTGCGGAGACAAGACGTTGGTTTTCCTCTTGACGTACATGTAGATGCGCACGTAAACCACCACCATGATGAAGAAGGCCAGGAGGTTTGACACGGTCCAGAAAATGAGGTAACTCCTACTGTAAATGGGGGCCAGAGATGAGCAGGCCGAGATGTCGCAGATGCAATTCCAGCCCAACGTGGGGACCGCCCCCATGAAGATGGCGACGGCCCACACCAGCAGAATCAGCAGTGTCACCCTCTTTTTGGTCAAGTTGCTGTGGACTCGCATCCTCATGATTGACACGTGCCTTTCCACGGCAATCACCAGCAAGTTAGCCAGGGAGGCAGTCAGGCTCGCATCCAGGAGCCCCTGGCGGAGAAACCAGCGGTTGACCGTCAAGGTTTTTGACACTGGGCCCGTGTTAAACATCAGGAACACGTAGGCAATTCCGGCGAAGAAATCTGCAGCAGCTAAGTTAGCCAGCAGGTAGTAGAAGGGAAAGTGAAACTTCCTGTTTGTGATCACTGCCGCGATGACCAGGGAGTTAGAGAAAAATATAAAGAGGCAGAAGAATGTCCCAACACACAGGACAGTCACAAGCTTTGTCCCCGTCCACTCGTCTGCTGTGTCCGTGTTGCTCCTGTTGTAGAAAAAGTCCATCCGTTTGTCGTAGTGACACTCATTCATTGTGGACAAGAGCTGCGGATCCTAGATGGGAGCAAGAGAGGACAAACATCACTAAATGGGACCACGTGCTAGGCTGCCAATTGCCACAATGACACCCCTCCCCCATGAGTCCTTCCAGCCTCCTGTGTCTCAGTGTAGATGTCCCTCACTTCAGTACTCCTGGCCTCCTACCACAGTGCATGGCTTGCGAACTGGTTCCCAGGGTAGGCTGAAAGTTCCAGGACGGAGTCTGTGCCTCGCTTATTCACCCCAGATCTAGAGGCTCTGCCTGCCTCAGGACAGGTCACTGAAAGGCTGACTAAGGAATGAACGGATGTTCAAGAAGGCATCGATATACCAAATGTGCTGTCTTACAGTTTCCGCTTGGCACTAGTGACAATAACAGCACAGCACGAACCATTAGGGAATGTTTTCCGCTGGTGGAGTCCAGGCCAGATTTTTTATTTATGAGTTCTGTTCAGTAATCAAGAGCAGGCTGGTATGCCAGGCATATTCTTGCCAAGATAATGGTATTGAGTTACTCTTCCATGCCAAACGCCTTCTCCAAGGGATCAGCTTCCACCCCTCCCATTCCAATCTTGATCATTCTATCACCATCATTTAGTTTCAGGCTACAGTTACAATCACTTGCCAGGTAAATGGTGTAGGGAGGAAGACTTTGGCCTCAATACCCCTCCCTTATCTTCTTCACTTCTTCCTCATAGTCTCCTCTTTTAAAGGGTTCCAATGTGAATTTTTGTGTGGGGTTTTCCAGTCTAATCGCTTCAAGTCAGCTCCACTCTCTGGCCCACAGGTGCTGGAGGACGAGGCCTCTGCAAGGACCACTAAGCCAGGGTTTGTGCAGCTACCTAACCACTGCAATGCTAAGTGAAGGCAAGTCCTTGAGATGTGTGCAAAAGGAGACACCAACCTGTGGTTATCAGACTGGCAGGGATGACACTGGTCCCTCTAAGCATAAGACTTCTTGGACCCCAAAGATAGAGATCCTAGCCAAGCCAAGGCTTAAGGATGCCCATTTCTCTGTGCTATGTGTGGTCAAAACCATGAAGGGTCCTATCAAAAGCCACCGGAGTTGAAGGCTGAGATTCTAGCTTTTCTCTGGAAGGGATTCCTCATTAAAACAAAACAAGAATCTGGGACTTAGCCAGGGGAGAACCACAGGCTCAGCAGACCCAAGTGTTGACCTGTCTACAACTGGTGGAGTGGGTGAAACAGGGAAAGTGCAGTAGGAATCCCAAGTTTTGAAACTTCCTGTCGATTCTGGAATCTGCTACCACACCAGAACAGGAATCACCAGCCTAGAGAATAATTGTCAGTACTATAAGGCAGAGCTGCATCTCAGCTAGGCTGCTTCTCAATTTATGTTGTAATTGTATAGTGATGTCATACTCTGAATTAAATGTCATTGTGGGATTTAAAAGTTCACTTTTTATAATTAAACAAATTTTATAACTTGAATGGCTCTTTGGCACCCTGTTCTATGTCCTACTTAACCAGTCTTTACATTTGGACACCAAGGCTGTTTCCAGCGTTTGACCTTTATAAGCAATTAATCTATATATACTCGGCCAATTGTAAGAATAACTCACTGTTTTCAGAATGAGCTAGAGAACAACAATGCATCTGAAAGATTACAATGCGTCTTGTCAACCTGCTTGAAAGTGATCATGTCTCCCAGCACCATCGGAGGGCTTAATAGGCGATGTTAACTAGAAATTCAGTTGAATATCCGTGGGGAAAATTCAGCTTTCGAGAATTCTAAAATTACATAAAGATTCAAGACAACCTGAGGAACTCATGCTGCGATTGGTCTGCTGCATCGCTCCCATCTGGGAGGCGACTCCACCCTCATCACTGGGCCTCCTCTGCCATGAAGACTGCTTCGGAGTCTCACTTCTCAATCTACCACGTGAGGACCCTACAGCAAGGCTCTGTTTTTGAAGTGGAGACTCAGCCTTCCCCGGACATGAAATCCGATGGTGCTTCTATCTTGGATCTTGGACTTGCCAACTCCCCGTGAGAAATAAATTCTGTTTATACATACCTAGGCCAAGTTACTTAGGTTATAGCCACAGGAACTGACACACAGAAGTTTTAATGAGACAATGATACTGTTTCCTTTCACTAATTAAAAAATGATTTACACATTTTGTTTTGCTATAGGATCTTGGTAGGTAGGAAAAACATTTTTCTAACTTAAGCATAATATCACTCCTGAGCAATTTATTAGGAATATTATATAGAATGTTAGAATTCAGATGTTTTAAAAATCTGTTGAATTTTTTCTTATTTCTTTAAACAGATGGTAGGGTTTTTTGTTTTGTTTTTGTTTTTTAAGCTCAGTTGTTACATTTGGTCAAATCTGTGGTTGTGAAAGACAAATTCTCTACTTTTCTTCCATAAAAACTAAGTTGTACTTTCCTGCTTTTTTTTTTATGGAAAAATTGCTCTGAGAATAAGAGGTCATTTTGTCTTGAAAAGGTTGAGCTGTCACAGGAAGATTATGATTAGCAGAACTTATACTAAGCAGGTTTCTCCATGTTACACAAAATTCTACATCTGAGAGAAACAGAATGCGAGCAGGAATTAGTGTAAAACAAAAAACCTACACAAACTATCGAGCATGAAGTACAAATAATGCCATGAAGTTGTGTTAGGACAAGAAAAGACTCACTATTATTTTAGTTACAAACAGCCACACACATACAATCAGAAGCGTGTAATTTCAAAAGGTAAAGAGCTAATTAAAAAGGAAGAATTATGAATTATTTTCTAAAATTCTATTTTTCTATATCTCATATTCTACCTATCTATCTGTCTGTCTGTCTGTCTATCTATATCTACTTATTTATTTTTTTGAGACAGTGTTTCTCTGTGTAGCCCTGGCTGTCTTGGAACTTGCTGTGTAGACCAGGCTGGCCTCCACCTCCGATATTCTGCCTGCCTCTACCTCCTGAGTGCTAGGATTAAAGCATGCAACACCACTGCCTGGCATTTAAAGACTTTTAAGTTCTCAAATTCTGTGTCCACAATTTCAGCTGTGCGTTGGTTGCCCTGAAAAACAAGCTTATGGGAGACCAGTGTACTCAGGCAGTCTTCACCAACTTGGCTCTTTTTAGGATATTTCTCTGAGAACAAGGTTGAGGTGATATTTGCCTAAGAATAACTTCACATCACTGTAAGATTTCCTGTGCTGACAACTGATCTCATCTGGATGCAACCTTTATCAGTCCTTCCATAAAGACTTCCTGGCCACATCACATCATCTTCTGCATTTGCTTCCAATTTACCGATGGTTCCCAGCGCAGATTAACCATACAGTATCATATCGCTGAGCTGGAAATCACCAAAAATTCTAGCTAGTTTATAACTAACGACCAATGTAGCATTTCTTGACCTCTCTCAGATTACAACATGATTCTGTGATTTCAAAAGAAGTTAACAAGTCATTTTACTTCTAGCCTAAAGTGCTCTCTGCAAGATAGCTCTGACCAACTGAACTGGATATCACTTTGAGAATGTGAAGTCCACGATCCAGCATTTGCACAGATACTCTGTAGCACATTCAAGGCCCGGGACTTTCTCCCATGTTAATGTAGAAATGTTGGTGTCCAACGACTCCCATCCCAGACCACTGTCCTCCGACCGAGCAGAGCTACTCTGCACACCCTGAGAGTGGCGGATTTGATAAATTATTGAGTGATCTTTGTCCTCTGCTGTGTCCCACTCCCCCTAAAATGAAAAAAGTCCAAGTTAAGTATCTTTACTGATTTACACAACAGCCACTAAGCACAACTAGGGAGTTTCATCACTTATTAACTGCATGTTCTCAGTGAGTTAATGTGTCCACTCTCGTCTAATTCAGTTACTAATATTAAGAGCATACCCTAGTCCAAGTGCTAGACTAAGCATTTTACATGGACCACTTCATTTCATCTTCCCAAAAATGATGCACAGCCATTTTGTGGAGGAGGAAACACACAGCTCCCAGAGCTCACATGGCTGAGGAGCAGATGTCTCTATCCGGGCAACTTTCCGAGGAGCCCACCCTACACTCTACTTCCTCACCTTAGGCACAGGCAGCACCGGCAGAACTGGGAATCCTAGAGAGATGTACGATAACTGCCGAGTTACTGAAAAAGAGACGATTTGATCACATCACATCAAAGGCTGCCCCACCGCATGAGCCACAGATAGACATTCTAAACAGCCTTTGGTCCCTCCCTCTTTTAACATAACCCTGAGGTGGGTGAAGAGAAGAGACATTTACAAATTCTGAGTTCAGATTTTACAGTATACGGGAAGCAGCGCGGTCACACTGACAAGGCTAACTCTTACTTCTGCCACATCTCGGCTGGCGTTTGTTTTTCTACTAAAGGTTTAGAGGATCTAGTCGTCCTGACCCAGACCCACAGGAGACACTACACTTGGGAGCAATGACCACAACTTCAAACTCCAGTAATGTAAGACTTCATAAGATGGTGGTTTGGAGAGTCTATATGTGGAGTCCAAATGAAAACTTCACTAGCAAAGCTTTCATTTAGAGTCTCCCCAACTTGTTTCTCTGAAGAGAAAAAGATAATCAGGCAACTTGGGACGTGGAAACAATTATGGAAATGAAGCCATCAGAAAACCACACAAGTTGCTTTTATTTCTAGCTGTATTTTAGGACACCAGTTGTCACCGGCTTCTCACTAACACGCCCCTCTTCTAGAACGAAAAGAGGGGCAGAGAAGACAGGGTGCATTGATGCTGTCTGTGTTTTCTCTTTCTATGGCCCACAAACATGGAACCACCCTCTCCTCACTAGAAACCTCATCTAGGTAGAAGCTGAACCTTCCTTTGGTTGCTACCTTAGGAATGCCCGCAGAGGTCATTTTGTTTGTTGACTGAATTAAATAATTTATGGTAATGGCAAATCAGGACAGCAAGGATGATTTAAATGTACCTAGAATCCCTGGGGTTCACTTTAGCCATTACCTTCTAGGCTTCTGCATTTGCCGTTCCATCTCCGCGGCCGC